AAATATGCAAAATAGTCAAGAGTGGGAAGGAAAGTAAAAAAGATTCTGGGTAGCTCAAACAGACTATAAAATGAGCATATTAAAGCTCATGCACTTTACTAAAATGGATTTCTATTATCTTCATTTAGAATTTCCGATTTAACTTAAAACTCCCAGCACTTTGGGAGGCCAAGGTGGGCAGATCACTTGAGGTCAAGAGTTCAAGACCAGCCTGGCCAACATGGTGAAACCCCATCTCTACTAATAATACAAAAATTAGCTGGGTGTGGTGGTGCGCACCTGTAATCCCAGCTACTTGGGAGGCTGAGGCATGAGAATCACTTGAAGCCAGCGGGCAGAGGTTGCAGTGAGTGAGATCACGCCATGGCACTCCAGCCTGGGAGACAGAGTGAAACTGTGTCTCGAAAAAAAGGCCAGGCACGGTGGCTGACGCTTGTAATCCCAGCACTCTGGGGGGCTGAGATGGGTGGATTATAAGGTCAGGAGTTCAAGACCAGCCTGGCCAAGATGGTGAAACCCTGTTTCTACTAAAAATACAAAAACAGGCATGGTGGTGGGTGCCTGTAATCCCAGCTACTTGGGAGGCTGAGGCAGAGAACTGCTTGAACCGGGGAGGTGGAAGTTGCAGTGAGCTGTGATCATGCCACTGTATTCCAGCCTGGGCAACAGAGCAAGACTCCGTCTCAAAAACAAGACAAACAAAAAAAACAATGATTGAATATTCAGAAATAGCTATATTATAACTCATATATTTGGCTTAAATAGCAGCAAAGCTTATCAGGTGACTTGTATTTTACGAAATAGTTAACTTCCAAACTCATAAACAAGTTGAGCAATCTCTAATATGAAAGTCAGAAATCTGAAATGCTCCAAGAACCAAAACTTTTCTGCATTGACCTGATACTACAAGTGGAAAATTCCACACCTGGCCTCATGTGATGGGCCATAGTCAAAATGCAGTCAATATTCTGTTTCATGCATAATTTTTATTATTTATTTATTTTGAGATGGAGTCTTGCCCTGTCACCCAGGCTGGAGTGCAGTGGCGTGATGTTGTCTCACTGCAACCTCCACCTCCTGGGTTCAAGCGATTTTCCTGCCTCAGCCTCCTGAGTAGCTGGAATTATAGGCACCCACCATCACGTCTGGCTAATTTTTGTATTTTTTTTTCCTTTTTTTTTTTTGAGATGGAGTCTTGCTCTGTCGCCCAGGCTGGAGTGCAGAGGCGCCACCTCGGCTCACTGCAAGCTCCGCCTCCCGGGTTCACGCCATTCTCCTGCCTCAGCCTCCCCAGCAGCTACTTGGGAGGCTACAGGCGCCCGCCACCATGCCTGGCTAATTTTCTTTGTTTTTTTAGTAGAGACGGAGTTTCATCATGTTAGCCAGGATGGTCTCGATCTCCTGACCTCGTGATCCGCCGTCTTGGCCTCCCAAAGTGCTGGGATTACAGGCGTGAGCCACCGCGCCTGGCCAATTTTTGTATTTTTAATAGAGACGGGTTTTGCCATGTTGGCCAGGCTGGTCTTGAACTCCTGACCTCAGGTGATCTCAGGCGATCTGCCCGCCTCAGCCTCCCAAAGTGCTGGGATTACAAGCATGACCTACTGTGCCTGGCCTGACTCTCCTCTTTTAATAAGCCCAACGCTGCCAGTTTTTCCGCTGGCATCAGACTACATCAGAGTTTCTTTGGTTAACTGCCAGAGGAAGTAGTCTGGTTTGTATGTGGGGGCCATGCTGTATGAAAATTAAAAATTATCTTTAAAATCACAATTACTACTGAATGAGGTAAGATGCTTAACCTATGAATAAAGTGGCAGCAGGCACTCATGCTATAAGAGGAGCAACACATTCAACTTCCCCTGCTCCAGGCTTACTCTGGAGAATATATTCTTTCAGTAAATTGTATTTAGAATTCTGTATAACATTTGAGCTGCTACATTTTCTTTTTTCTTTTTTTTTTTTGAGATGGAGTTTCGCTCTGTCGCCCAGGCTGGAATGCAATGGCATAATCTCGGCCCACTGCAACCTCTGACTCCCAAGTTCAAGCCATTCTCCCTGCCTCAGCCTCCTGAGTAGCTAGGATTACAGGCACCCGCCGCCATCATGCCCCGCTAATTTTTGTATTTTTAGTAGAGACCGGGTTTCGTTATATTAGCCAGGCTAGTCTGGAACTCCTGACCTCAGGTGATCTGCCCGCCTCAGCCTCCCAAAGTACTGGGATTACAGGCATGAGCCATCACGCCTGGCCTAAATTTTCTTTTTTTCCTTCAGGGGTCTGGAGTTGTATTAAGTGAAATGCACTTATAATATGGGTGCACTGCAATATACTCTATAGAGTATGCAGAGAAAAGCTTTAGGTCTCTGGAATATTCACAAATATAAATGAATAGTGTCACCCTACAGTAGTCTGTAGGTATCTATCCTCTAAGTATTACAAGATCTAGCAAAGTTTAAGGAGAAATTGAAAATAATTAAGACAATAGGAAAAAAAATAGATAAACTCATTTTTAAAAAGTAGTATCAAGGCTGGGTGCAGTGGCTCACCCCTGAAACCCTAGCACTTTGGGAGGCCAAGGCAGGAGGATCACTTGAGGCCAGGAGTTTGAGATCAGCCTGGGCAACATAGAGAGACCCTGTCTCTTACAAAAAATTAGCCAGCCATGGTGGCATACGCTTGCAGTCCTAGCTACCCAGGAGGCTGAAGTGGGAGGATCGCTTAAGCTTGGGAAGTTGAGGCTGCAGTGAGCCATGACTGTGCCACTGTATTCCAGTCTGGGTGACAGAGAAAGATCCAGTCTTAAATACATAAATAAATAGTTGTATCACATATATGAGGGAAAGAAATGATAAAGAAGAAAAATTACAAGGTTACTAATTATTTCTTTTCAGCTAAGCTTTTGGTAATGCTCATCTTTTAACGTTCTTTGGCAAACACAAATCAACCAAGTTTTACAGCTGTTATTAATATGCCTATTTAAAGCAGTACAGCAAAACATTTTTCATAAAAAAAGAGCATTATAAAATTCTTAAATATTTAGGATAGTTATACACTTCAACTTCTCTATTTAAGGGGTGGAGAAGATAGAGATTGACAGAACATGCCTATTTTCTGAGAAGTCTCAAAGAATTTTTTACAGCTTAGAAAGTTTCATTACCAGGGTAACCTATGAGAAGTTTATACTGTTAAAACCTCTACACTAACACTATATTTAAGTCTTTATTGAAAAGTTCTTTATTTTGATTCTTAAGACTATAAAAGTAGAGAGAAACTGGCTTTTGGTGATAAATACAGTAACATTAATGGGATTATAAATAAGCTATTCGGCCTTAAAATAGCTTTATCTTCCAGTTCATTTCTGAATTGTGATTATTTTTCTCATGAGCTAAAAGACTTCCATTTCACAGAAGTACAGCTGACCCTTGAATAACATGGGTTTGAACTGCCTGGGTCCACTTATTTGTAAATTATCTTCTGCTTCTGTCACCCCTCAGATGACAAGACTAACCCCTCCTTCTCCTCAATGTGAAGATGACGAGGATAAAGACCTTTATGATGATCCACTTACACTTAATGATTAGTAAATGTAATGTATTTTCTTTCCTTTATGAATTTTTTTTTTTTTTTGAAACAAGGTTTTGCTTTGCTGTGAAGGCTGGAATGCAGTGGCATGATCTCGGCTCACTGCAGCCTCGACCTTCTGGGCTCCTACCACCCCAGTCTCCTGAGTAGCTGAGACTACAGGCGCTCACTACCACACCCAGCTAATTTTCGTATATTTTGTAGAGATGGGGTTTCACCATGTTGCCCAGGCTAGTCTTGAACTCCTGGGGTCAAGCAATCTGCCCACTTTAGCCTCCCAAAGTGCTGGGATTACAGGCATGAGCCACCATGCCTGGCTCTATAAATTTCTTAATAACATGCTCTTTTTCCTAGCTTGTTTTAAGAATATAGTACAAAATACATATAACATACAAAATATGTATGTTTGGACTGTTTATGTTAACAGACTAATGGACTGTTTATGTTATTGGTAATTCTGGTCAGGAGCAGGCTATTAGTCAAGTTTTTGGGGAGTCAAAAGTTATACATGAATTTTGGACTGCATGGGGAGGTGCCCCTAACCCTCATGTTGTTCAGGAGTCAACTGTACCTTTTTTAACCACCAAGTAAACTAGTTTACGGAACATTTTCTGGAGGTCTTTAAGAATCAGAGCAAATGTTCATATTTATGAAGCAGTTTAACTATAATCCTACAGGGTGAATTAGGGGAACAATAAATATCTTTAGAGTCCTTAGATTACCTTTACAAAAATCAGTAGTAACATAATTCAATAGTGAATTTCTACAATATATATGCTTCAAATAACACAAACTTAATGCTTTAAAACAGACAGCTAAGATTATAGGAATATTTTAAATAAACAGCATTTATTTTAGACACATTTCAAATAAAAGCCACAATAATCAGATAGATATTATCTGAAACGTTCCAAAAATATTAACCCTTTAAATGTTCTTCTCTGAAAAATTAGTTTATCTTTAATAAATTATTCTGAATTACTGTGTCAGCATATAAGGTTATGCATATATATTCACTTGCTGGTCTCTATGTTAAAGAAGACTAGGTAAAAACTAGAGAAATATCTGAACATAAAACAGTTAACAATTTATGGCCCATTTTCTTCTCATATTATTGAAAAATATGATAAATCTTGTAGTTCACAGACTATATCCAGGAAACAAATGTCACATATTAAATAGAAATAAACCATCTTTGTACGCAGGTATGTTTAAATGAAGACACATACATACAAACTCCTATAGCAACAGGATTCAAATAAATACTTAGACCAAGATCTTTCTTTTTCTTTTTTTTTTTTTAACTGTTTCAGAGAAAAGGATTTTAAGCCATAAATGTAACAGACCACACAGTCAAACAAATGGCAAATGGTTGGACCTGATATTTCTATAGAAATGTACATCATAACACTCAACATACCAAAGTGTGCTGAACCACTGCTACTTTTACTTTGCGTAGAGGTACTGCATGTCTGGGTCCCAGGTTGTGCTGTTCCTGTTCGGTTTATACTCCTATATAATTTTCTACAGGAGAGTTCATCATTGTCACTGTCATGTAGGGATGGTGTCCGAGGCCTAAAATGCCGCCATCTACATGATTTGATATTGACTAGTATCTGACTGAGGTCTTTAGAGAAAGATTTGTCCGAGGTATTTGTTTCTGAGGTATTGGCAAACTGATTGACTGGAGAATGTTGTGGTGAGGAAAGCATTTCCAAATCCAGATGGTGAAACACACTGTCATAGTCTGAATGAGCTCTGTCCAGTAAGACCCTATTAAAAAATCAGATAAGAAACAGTTACTTAAAATAGTTATTCAAAGATTATATACGAAATCTTTTTCCTTTTCCCCCCAACTGCCAAAAGGCCAACTCATACTGAATAATTAAAGCTTTAAAATTGATTTAGTATTTGGTTCTTATAGGCTACAATCTCAATTTCTAATAAAAGTTCTTTTAACAAATGGTTTTTCAACCAAAGATTTTCACTTCCATTACAAAGCACCAAAATGAATGCTTTATAAAATGTTGCGAACATATTTATTCTATATTTAAGCAAAAACTTCATTCTTTTGGGGGGAAAGGGCGAAAAAAGAAGAAAAGCAACAAAAAACATAGTATTTTATACCATTAACATTTCTTATAGACAAAATATTTGAGATCCACTACTCTAGAGGATATATTCTTATGTTATTGATTGATTGAGATGGAGTTTTACTCTGTCACCCAGATTGGAGTGCAATTGTGCGATCTTGGTTCATTGCAACTTCCGCCCCGGGGTTCAAGTGATTCTCCTGCCTCAGCCTCCCAAGTAACTGAGATTACAGGTGCCTGCCACCATGCCCAGCTAATTTTTGTGTTTTTTGCGGAAATGGGGTTTCCCCATGTTGGTCAGGCTGTTCTCAAACTCCTGACCTCAAGTGATCCACCCACCTTGGCCTCCCAAAGTTCTGGGATTACAGGTGTGAGCCACCATGCCTGGCCTCTTGTTATTTATATAAACATTATAAATGACTCCAATTCAAAATAACATTGATTAATGTTAGTAATAGAATAAAATATAGCCAATGTAGAGAATTTTCACTGCTCCTGATGTCAACATAGTGATGGAAAAAAACGGACTAAAAATGTATTTTAGTGCCTAGATAATTCTTAACCAATGTTTAAATAATAAAAAAACCCTCTGCAATTAAGAGTTAAAGACAAAAAATATATATGTATAAGCCATTGGTTTATCATAAATATACCCTTGGGTTTCTTCCTGAAAAATCGCCTTGATACCATTATTTGCTTTCCCTTTTAATTTTCCCCACACATTATACATTAACGTCGCTCCATTCCTTGAGTTTGTGTTTTGCCATTTGTTTCCTGTCCCTATACAAACAACTTCTTGCATAAAGGCATTTAGAGTATGAAGGAAGGAATTCTACAAGGTTTAAACAAAGGAAGAACAATTAGATCCTGACAAACTGGGATGTCAAGATCAGGTTATGCACGGATCCTTTTCATTGTCAGGTTAAACTCATTATACTAGTTAGTGTGAAACAACTTTTTTGCAGTTTCTTTAACTTAATACACTGTGCGCAATCAGGATTTACACTTGTCTTCATCTGTTGCCTTTTCTCACAATTCTATCCCTTGATAATTTATCTGAAGTTTTCCACCTTGCGGAGAAAAGCAGGTCCATCAGGGACCCATTAGAGTTATGACAAAAGCTATGGATGTGTAAGAACCAGGTAGTACAGCAACAAAAATATTTTAGTCAACAAATCAGTTAAGAATAGCAAATAGGAACTAATGAGTTGTTCAGAGGGATTACCTGACTTTAAAAGTTAAATTCGATCACCCTAATGCCTAAAAAATCCTTCTGCTAGGAATATAGAAATACCTTACCTTCCACCGCGCCCAACCCGTCTTCGTGCAAATCCAATACACCTTTGGGGTACGGTGAGAGTAGTTAAGCAGTATCTATATCGCACATCCCCTAATCCTCCATCTTTAGGACTAGTCCAAGGCCAGTTGCCAGTTTGGTCTAAGTGAGGCTTAAAAAAAAAATCCAAATTATTTAATTTTGTCAGTTAAAGGTAAACAGTTTGTTATTTACAAAGACAGTCTGAAACTTACAGCATAGTACTGACAGCCTGCTTTCCTACGGAAAGCAAAAGGACCATCAGGATCATTGTCTTCCTCAGCTTCCGAAGAGCCAGACAAAACCTTTAAATGAAATAAAGAAAGTAGGTCAGATATGTGACTTCCTATGTCCCTCCTCAATGTTCATAGAGAATTGTATTTGTACCTGGGAGAGAGGTTCTTCGTCTGAGCTGGGAAAGTCATACTGATTCAGATCTTTAGCATTGAAAACTGGCAGTGCAGCAGGACTCGTCTGTTGGGGAGTAGCAGCGGCAGACGATGGTAAGACTTTGGGCTTCTTTTCATATTTCCGTTTCGGTCGGATAAGATCGGCTTTATCTTGCTGCAACAAAGACATGAATTAATTATACACCAGAAACCATGTTCAACACACTTGCAGTTTTGGGGGAAATTTTAAAAAGAAGTTTATTGCTATAATGAGGGCATTCATATTCATAAGAGACACAAGACTCTATGTTTGGCCATCTTATAGTGTAAAGTCTAGAGAAGTTGGCCTCCATGAAAGCATAAATTTATCCTACAATCTAAACATAATCACACAAACAATTTTGTTTCAATTAAAGTAAAAGGAGAGAACAGAAGTTCTCCAACTTCTGAAGTCTTACAACTGCAATTAGTATATTTACTGCTGGTTCCTCTCATTTTCTTAATTTTCTATGAAAATTCTAGAAGAGAATTTTTTTTTAAAAGGGGATTGTCTAGTCCTTATTCTCATGAAATAATAAATATAGGACAAATAATAATGAAAATGTCTTCGTATATACAGAAAGCAAACTACAGAAAACTGTTAACATAGTAGAAAACAAAGCCATAATACTGAGCGAGGGGTTATACAAATAAAGAGTAGTAAGGATTTGCGGGCTGAACAATGAAAGCTTTCTGAAATGGTGAATTTTAAACAGTTTTAACAGATAAAGATATGAAATCATTAAATAGGGGAAATTCAGGATAAAATATACAGGCAAGAGTAACTGAGCTGATGGAACACAGCACGTCAGAAACATGGATTACAGATGATGGCAAAGGTTGGGAGAAGTATGAATTTGAAATGTAGGCAATAGGTAAGGTAAAGTAGTGGCAAAAACTGTATTTGTTGGGAAGAAAAAGATCATGGCAAGCACCACGGTTATGTAAATACGCTAAATATTTATGTTACGTTTTATGTAGTTTATGACATTATGGTTTTTTGGGAAAACCATGGCTTTCCCAAACCATAGGGCATCTCTCTACAATTTCTACTGCTGTATTTGACAGGATAATCAAATCAAAAGCTGGCCATGGCAATGCAAAATGTTATTTAAAAATTAACATCAACCATCAGTTAGGGCAGTGCTTGAGGACTACATTATTATCTATTACTTTTTTCTTTTCTTTTTTTTTTTTTTGAGATGGAGTCTTGCTCTGTCACTTAGGCTGGAGTACAGTGGTGCGATCTCGGCTCATTGCAATCTCTGCCTCCCAGGTTCAAGTGATTTTCCTGCCTCAGCCTCCCAAGTAGCTGGGATTACAGGCTCGCGCTACCACACCTGGCTAATTTTTTTTGTATTTTTAGTAGAGATGGGGTTTTGCCATGTTGGCGAGGCTGGTTTCAAACTCTTGACCTCAAGTGATCTGCCTGCCTCTACCTCCCAAAGTGTTGGGATTATAGGCCTAAGCTGCCGCACCTGGCCTAAAGTAAGTAACTTTTAAGCGTGAGTGGCACATACAGAGGAAAGCAAAGAATAGAATAATTAATCTTAAAATATGAAAACTGAAGGATAATACTAAAGTAGTTCACAAAATAATGTAGGGTTCAGACTGGAGGACCACATTAAAACAGTTAAGAGTGGGAGGCTGGGTGGGGTGGCTCATGCCTGTAATCCCAACACTTTGGGAGGCCGAGGCGGGCAGATCATGAGGTCAGGAGATTGAGACCATCCTGGCTAACACGGTGAAACCCCATCTACTAAAAATACAAAAATTAGTTGGGCGTGGTGGTGGGCGCCTGTAATCCCAGCTACTTGGGAGGCTGAGGCAGGAGAATTGCTTGAACCCAGGAGGCGGAGGTTGCAGTGAGCCAACATTGCGCCACTGCACTCCAGCCTGGGCAACAGAGCTAGACTCCGTCTCAAAAAAAAAAAAAAAAAAAAAAAAAACAGTAACAGTGGAAACAATCCCATTAAGCTTTAAAGATACATTTAGAACTAATATATTATAAATACAGGACATAAAATTTAGATAAATGCAAAATTTAAATAAAAACTTACTTTCCAGATTACTGAAGAGAGTAACGAGAATAATTCTATTCTTCCTCCCACCCTCCGCTATGTTTTTTAAAAATCAAAATGTCTATGTTAACAAAGTAGGAAAAAAAAAAAAGTCCATGTTTTTTCACAAAATGGTCTGGTCCCTGGCACTGCTTTAAACACCTCCCCCCGGTCCCCTCCAAAAAAAGTCCAGGCTGGGGAAATCATCATTCATTCAAACTGGTGTGGCAGGTTGTACATTCAGGCTGGAAGGTCTGTATACCACACACAAAAAACACCTGTGTGAGAATGATATTAAATGACACAGGGGAGATAAAACTGATGACAAATTTGCCCATTCCTCAAATTAACTGGTATGGTAGATGCAAAGTTTCAAGAAAAATTTTTTTTTTTTTTTTGAGACGGAGTCACTCTGTTGCCCAGGCTGGAGTGCAGTGGCGCCATATTGGCTCACTGCAAGCTCCGCCTCCTGGGTTCACGCCGTTCTCCTGCTAAGCCTCTGAAGTAGCTGGGACTACAGGCGCCCGCCACCACACCTGGCTAATTTTTGTGTGTTTTTAGTAGAAATGGGGTTTCACCATTAGCCAGGATGGTCTCGATCTCCTGACCTCATGATCCGCCCGCCTCGGCTTCCCAGAGTGCTGGGATTACTTACAGGCACGAACCACTCGCCCAGTCATGAAAAATTTCATTCAAAAAAATGCATAAGGTACTTTTTCCTCAGATGTACACTTTCCAAGAAAGTGCCACTTAATTAACGGCTCCCCTTTATTTACCTCGGTTTCCCTTCACTAATTTTATTTCCTCTCACAAATTTTATTCTTCACAAATTGTGATTTGTTTAAATACTAATCTGTCAAATATTTCCATTTCTAAATCATTATATTACAAACTATTAAGATACCAAAATTCCTTCTTATACACGATTGTGTCCACAAAAGACAGAAAAACTTTGAGGCCAGGTTCGGTGGCTCACGTCTGTAGTCCCAGCACTTTGGGAGGCCGAGACGGGCGGATCACCTGAGGTCAAGAGTTTGAGACCAGCCTGGCCAACATGACGAAACCCCATCTCTACTAAAATTACAAAAATTAGCCCAGCATGGTGGCGCACGCTACCTGTAGTCCCAGCTACTAGGAGAGGCGAGGCAGGAGAATCGCTTAAACTTGGGGGGTGGAGGTTGCAGTGAGCTGAGAGTGCACCACTGCATTCCAGCCTGGGTGAAGAGCAAGACTCCGTCTCAAAAAAAAAAAAAAGAAAGAAAGAAAGAAAAACTCATCTGATCACGGAGGATTTCATCTCTTTCTCCCTAACTCTCCATATTTTGTATGAATTATTTCAATACTTCATAATCCTACAACTTGTAAAAGGAGTATTTTTCCTTTTATCAGATATAGTAACAACAGCTTCCCTTTATAAGGAAGAAAAACAAAAATAAAATTTTAATTATAGATTAAAATTCTGCTTTTCTTCATATTATGGCACAATCATTGCAGTATACATTAAAGTGGGGTTTATATGTATTTATCTTTTTTAATCTTTTTTTTTTTTTGAGATGGAATCTTGCCTTGTCACCCAGGCTGTAGTGCAGTGGTGCGATCTCGGCTCACCGCAACCTGTACCTCCTGGGTTCAATTAATTCTCCTGTCTCAGCCTCCCGAATAGCTGGGATTGCAGGCGCATGCCACCACGCCTGGCTAATTTTTTTTGTATTCTTAGTAGAGACCGCGTTTCACCATGTTGGTCAGGCTGGTCCCCAACTCCTGACCTCGGGTGATCCACCCACCTCCGTCTCCCGAAGTGCTGGGATTACAGGCATGAACCACCGTGCCCAGCCTATATATATTTTTCTTTTTAACCTTCATTCTGATGATAAAACACCATCCCATTATACTATTATCACAAAAACATTAATCACCTTATTAACTTTGAACTCCTTCACATCCATTGTTTCCTGGTGTTTAAATTGACTGCTATTAGTAATAGGGATGATGGGGATGGCATAAGTAGGTTTCATTGGCTGTCTCTGTGCCATAACCTCAGACATGATCTCTCCATTGTAATCGCCCAAATTATACCTAAAATTATACAAATGAAAGTTTAAAATTATATATATTTAAGGAATACAACGTGATGTTTTGATATACATTTATACTGTGAAATGATTACCACAATCAAGCTAATTAACATATCCATCACCTCACATAATTACCTTGTGTGTATATATGGTGAGATTACTTAAGATCTACTCTTAGCAAATTTCAAGTATATAATACATTGTTATTAACCATGCTGTACATTAGGTCTCCAGAACTTATTCATTTCATAACTGTAAGTTTGTACCCTTTGATCAACATACAAAATATGTAATTTTTATTTGTCAATTATACCTAAATAAAGCAGGAAAAAGAAGAAAATTTTGGAAAGTTAATTTTGTAAGTATTTATCTTTATAACCATTAATAACTAGCTGACTGGGATGTAATTATAAACACCAATTACATTTAAGGCAAGATTGTAGTTAAACTCTGACTATTCAATGTCTCTTAAAATTAAAGATTACATAATTCCTTTTGTTTCTTTTACTTTTTTGGCTTATAGCTTTATCATGGCATATAAACAGAGGACTGTGGGGAAGAAATCAAAAGTTGGAATTTTAACATAGCAATTTTGGTGAAAGATTTGGTGAAGAAGTTGAAAGTAATGCCTAAAATGGTGCTATGGATCTTTCTGCTAATTAGAATTGCCTGGGCTTTAAAAGCAATTTTTCTAAAAGTAACCACAAGAAATTTAAAAGTGGTTTTCTTTGGGGATAGGGACTGGAAATAGGGCAGGGTTTTTTTTTTTTTTTTTTTTAAGTTTTCATTGTGTACCTTGCCAAATGCTTGAGTAGTAAGATATATGGGCCTTTCCCCCTCTTTCTTTACCCTTTTCTATTTAACAGTCCAGTGTTAAGTGAATCCAGTCACTTTTAAAGAAAATAGAGGAAAACATGTAAAAGTATAAAAAGTATACCACAAATTTAAAGTCTCTATATTAAAAAGAGGTATTTCTGTAATTAGATTATTGCATAGGAAATAAATTAACTCAATATACAAAATGTTAATGGCACTATACTTCCTCTAACATTATTAAAATATACATTACCTCTTTTCCATAATTTCCAGTGTTAAGTGCAATAGCTCTCTTTTACTTTTTTCTCTTCTTTTTATCATCTCTAGAATAGTAACAGCTCGACTTAGATCTCGTCGCAGCTTAAGCATTTTTTCGTAAGAGGCTTCATCATTTTTGCGATTCTGCAAATGTGAAGTTGCTTGTTTAAGGTAAGTATTTCTAACTAGTGGTATAGTTACTGACCCATTAAATTTATATATTTGAAGGGTTAAATCAGAATTTAAAGACAATAAAAGGGAGTACAGATCACCAAGAAATCAATTTTGTATTGATTTTTAAATGGATTAACATTAAAATATAACATTAACAGCTGCATAATAAATCTTAAGTTCAATTTATTTTAAGTATTTTTCTTATAATTGGAAAGTCATATTTGAATATAAATTAAACTATAGTATTGAGATAGTCACAACTATAATTATTATATAAATAACTATCAAAAAAATTCTTCAAATTCACTCACTTTTCGAGTCTGCATTTTTTCAGTACGCCTTCTAAAAGCCACATAAGGATCATTTGTGCTGGAACCATCTCGCTTTTCTTGTTTTACTGATGGAATAAGAGATGGCCCTCGACAGTTTTTTCTCTTTTTAATCCAATATTCATAAACTTCTCTAATTAGTTCATCATCTTCTTTTAGCAGTAGTTTGGCTTCCTGCAGACTGACTGGCTAAATGTAAAACCATTATGTCATTTTCATACAATACACATACAAGGTTCATCAGTATTTACTTCTAAATTTAAAGGACAATTATCGATATTACAACATTATTAACAAATGGGAAACTTGAGGAGTACATTATCCATGTCAGTCACTGAACTAGGGTGCTTTATATACATTATTTAATCTTTACAACAATCCCAGGGGAACCGAGGCACAGAAAAATTTAAACATATTGCTCAAGATTACACAGGTTACTGACAAGCAGAGATGAGATTTGAATTCATACTTTTTAACTCTAAAGTCTGCCTGATTACCCCCAACCTACAATCTCACACTTTTTCCATACAATACAGTTCTTTACACACAATATGTATATACTTGTTATATACAAATGAAGTTGTACCTGCTGACCACTGCCTTTTTCTAGGCGGTCAATCATCTCCTCAAATTGCAATGGGCAGATGTCCATTTTCTTTTTCAGTTTATTCACAAATACTTCATCTTCAGAATCCAAATCATAATCTGGCTGTTCAGCATCCAAACTAAAAGCTGACAGAAGGAACCATATGCAATCATTTACTGTGTGAATTCACCAACAAAAACTTCACAGATGTCTGCATAAAAACAAGACCTATACTTTCTAAAGAAATAAGAAAGAATTTCTGGATTTTCTTTTCAAAGTCGCAAACAATCTAAGTTTTTACAGATTTGTCTTTCACATTTAAAGTTAAAGAAAGGAGATTATCTTCACTATGAATATACATATAAGTAATAAAAGACAACGGATGCGACCCCCTCCAACCACTCCTAAAAGCAAATAAACTAGAAGCCTATTAAGAACATAAAGCAATCATTAAAACTTACTTGGTTGAACCATGTGCAAGTACCATTTTTATAGCTCAAAAATCATCACATAGGCAATTTTTACAATATAAAAGGAGAAGGCTTTTAAATAAGATTTTTTTCTATAATATTTAAGTCCTATTTTGTAGATTATTCAACTACTTTACCAAAAGCTAAGGGAGCGGTCTTTAAAGCTGAAGTGTTAGAAGTCACTACCAATAACAGTACAGATTGAGAATCCCTCATTCAAAATGCTTGGGACCAGAAGTGTTTTGGATTTTGGAATATTTGAAAATAATGAGATTTTTTGAGGGTGGGACCCAAGTCTAAACACAAAATTCACTTTTTTCACATATACCCTATATGCATAGCCTGATGGTGATTTTATGTAATATTTTGTGCGTGAAACAAAGTTCTGACTGTGAACCATCATCACATGAGGGCAGATGTATAATTTTCTACTTGTGGAATCACACTGGTGCTCAAAAGTTTCGAAATGTGGAGCATTTCAGATTTTGAGTTTTCAGCAGCTGTCACTCAGTGAGTACATTCCTGCCTAGGAAGTTTGTTTCTCTATGGGAACAGTGCCATGTTGATGGAAATGGGAGGATCTTAGATCTGCTGGCAAGAACCACTGCTACTATCAAATGTTGTTTAATTACTTACCAAAATTAAGCTAAGTTGATATGAATATGATAAGCAAAACATTAAACAGCTTTAACATAAAAATTTGTCTCACATCTTTCCCTTACTTAATTCCTTCTACTAACCTTAGATTCCACATCTTTAGAATGGTATAAGGCCCTTTTCTCCTATTCTCTCCAGTGTCATCAGTTCTTTATGATCTAGTAAGATCAGATTTCATTGATTTCATCCAGTATGCTATTTCATGATACTGCAGGCCTTTACAAAAATCCCTGTTTTTCTGCTTGACCACCAAGAAGGCAAATGCTTATTTATTCTTTTTAGCACCCAGCCTGGTATCATTCCTCTAGAATCCTTTTTTGATTGTTCCCCACCCAAGAAGTAGTTCCTAACCACTTTCATCTTTTTTAGTGGCTAAGAACCCACTTCTCATACTTTATAATGTACTTGTTAAGCATGCCTCCCTATTACAATGTGCATGATCTCTTTAGGGAGAGAGGCATGCCTTCTTTATTTCTGTACCTCTAAGTGGAGGGTAACAGGTTTCACCTTGTATACCACCTCTGCTTGCAGTACTCTACTGAAAAGTATTCTAATGTAACCTCTATTAAAGTGGGGGGAAATAACCTCCAAAACCAGTCAGACATTAAAGACTGTGATAGGTACAAAGAGCACTATTTAGCTGCCAAATACCACCACCTCTGCTTAAAGCTTAACATAGTGTCTGGCCTGGAGAAGTAAAAAAATACTGGTACAGTTGAATGTATTATTTCACTGTTTTATTTTTTATTTTGACCTATATCACTTTGATAACATTCCTAATTAAAATAAGTAAGTATTCAGACTATAAAAATTTCTAGACGTTAACATCTCTATACTCACAGTACCTGCAATCATGGGCCCTCCAATGATTTTCCATCATCTCATTTTGTCATTATTATGTAAATAGGCTTTTAGAGATCCTCAAGTTGACTGAAATTGTTAGATTAAAAACACGATGTATTTTATTCCTAACCAAAATAATGCAGGTCTATGTTGTCTGATATGGTAACCACTAGCCAAGTGTGGCTAACTGAATTTATATTAATTAAATAAAATTCAGTTCCTCAGTCACAATCGCCACAGTGCTACAATAGCTATATGTGGCTAGTGTTGTATTAGCACAGATTACAGAACATTTCCATCATCATAGAAAGTTCTATTAAATTAAGAGCACTGATCAAAATAATCCAAAAAGCCAAACTGATAGCAACCAACTAGCAATGTTTTCAATGTTCTGGTTTTTTTTTTTTTGAGACAGTCTCTCTCTGTCACCCAGGCTGGAGTGCAATGGGGTGATCTCAGCTTACTACAACCTCTGCCGCCCGGGTTCAAGCGATTCTCCTGCCTCAGCCTCCCAAGTAGCTGGGATTACAGGAGCCTGCTATGACGCCTGGCTAATTTTCGTAGTTTTTTTTTTTTTTTGGTAGTAGAGACGGGGTTTTTTTTTTGGTAGTAGAGACGGGGTTTCACCATCTTGGCCAGGCTGGCTGGTCTTGAACTCCTGAACTCATGATCCACCCACGCCGGCCTCCCAAAGTGCTGGGATTACAGGCATGAGCCACCGCGCCCGGCCAATGTTCTGCTTCTTAAGGTTGTATTTCATTTTTAGGATCTCATTTACACACGACAGTTTGGCATCCTCTTCTTTAGATCATATCACATGTCAAACCACAATCACAAAGCTCAATTATTCATAAAAACAAAATGAGCTTGCCAAGGATCACTTTGCTTCGCATCAAAATACATTTGCCATAGGCTCTGGTAGATATTATATTATCAATGACAAGTCACACCCAACACATCAGGGGCTGTATCAAGACTGAAAAGGATGATTTCTATTATACGAATCAAGGAGCTCAGGGTCTTTCCCTCTGACGTTAACAAGGACCTGAGTGTCCGAGCCCTTTTGCCTCTGCAAGAGGCTTTTCTTTTATTCAGTGCAAACTCATATAAAATCTTAAACAGGGGCCAGGCACGGTGGCTCACGCCTGTAATCCCAGCACTTTGGGAGGCCAATGCAGGTGGATCGTGAGGTCAGGAGTTCCAGACCAGCCTGGCCAACACGGTGAAACCCTATCTCTACTAAAACTACAAAATTTAGCTGGGCACGGTGGCAGGTGCCTGTAATCCCAACTACCTGGGAAGCTGAGGCAGGAGAATTGCTTGAACCTGGGAGGCGGAGGTCGCGGTGAGCTGAGATAGTGCCACTGCACTCTAGCCTGGGCGACAGAGCAAGACTCCATCTCAAAAAAAAAAAAAAAAAAAAAAAAAACAAGAAAAAGGTATTAAATAGGAAGAGTACCCAATCTTGTTCACATATACAATACCAAAACCCTCGAGAAAAGCTAACATGTAAAAACCCACCTTGGAATTTCATTTGACCAAAAAACCCACAGTCAACAACCTTAATATGTAATTTAGCTATAGCTGAATCTGCAGCTTCCAAGTAACACCTCAACCCAAGCTAATAAAAAAGTAAAATATTCATCATGTTCCTAGAATTAGGAGTACCTTCAGATTTTCTGGGTCATGTTATTGGATGTGTTCAAAGTAAAAAACAGGGTCTAAAGAAAAACAGGCAAATAGGTCATCTCTTCTAATTAAGTTTTATCAATTAAAGTGAGACTTAGCTTGTTAATATTCTTTTTTTTTTTTTTTTTTTAGATGGAGTTTTGCTCTTGTTGTCCAGGCCGGAGTGCAACGCCGTGATCTTAGCTCACTGCAATCTCTGCCTCCCGGGTTCAAGTGCTATTCCTGCCTCACTCAGCCTCCTGAGTAGCTGGGATTACACGTGCCTGCCACCACGCCCGGCTAATTTTTGTATTTTTTAGTAGAGATGGGATTTCACCATGTTGACCGGGCTGGTCTCGAACTCCTGACCTCAGGTGATCTGCCCGCCTTGGCCTCCCAAAGTGCTGGGATTACAAGCGTGAGCCACCGCACCTGGCCTATAATTCTTCAATAATGAGAACTACACTGTGGAAACTGGCTCCTTTAAAAATATTCTGATAGGAATAAACCCAGAGATGCATACAGGTAAACAAAACACAGTATTATGTGTGATACACAGATGTAGGAAAAAGTATACCATAACTACCATGTAGACATAAAATAAGTCTAAGTAAAATACAATAGGACTTATACATTGGTTAGATGATGATGATTATTATTTTTGAGATAGAGTCTCGCTGTGTCGCCCAGGCTGGAGTGCAATGGAATGATCTCGGCTCATTGCAAGCTCCGCCTCCCGGGTTCACACCATTCTCTTGCCTCAGCCTCCTGGGTAGCTGGGACTACAGGCACCCACCACCATACCCAGCTAGTTTTTTGTATTTTTTAGTAGAGACAGGGTTTCACTGTGTTAGCCAGGATGGTCTCGATCTCCTGACCTTGTGATCCGCCCGCCTTGGCCTCCCAAAGTGCTGGGATTACAGGTGTGAGCCACCGCACCCGGCTGATTAGATTATTTTTAAAGGAAATCCAGGCTGGTACAAATCATTGTATTTAGAGTCTAGTAATAGATATTTACCATGGGGTGGGAAGTATTTGACATCCTTGTCTTAGATCTAAGACAAAGATATTAAAGTTTAGTAATAGAGATGAAATGTAAGTGTCTATGGAACAAGTGCCATTTATGACTCAAACTAAGTGTGCATTGGGTGAGTATGTCCATAACTTCAAACAGCATTTTTAAAATACAGGAAGCAAATAGTGAAAGGATATCTGGATCCATGAAACAGCACACAACGTGAATTAGGAACAGAATATACTCCCTGATTGAAAGGAAGGAAGGAACACTACCCAAGGTTGAAGAAAAATTGTCACAGCAGTTTCAACACGAGCACTAACTACATGATTAATAATATCTACTTGCAAAGCTCTTGATACCAATTCTGATCAGCAGAAAGACCGTTGTGAAGGTGTTATTTACTATGGGGTCATAGGTATTTGACATCCTTCCCTCAGATCTAAGACAAAGATATCGCTGACTAGCTAATGAAAATCTTCAGTTTCCCTTG